GGATGCATTATTCATAACTACTAGAATCCAATGCTCCCATTGGCTAAGACGCCCCCAAAAGTCTTATATAAAGCGCGCAGAAATGGCAGTTTTGGTCATTGTTGTACTGGGCTCTCAACAGTAGGTTCTTGAGCTGAGCTCCCGCACGTAGATGATGCGTTAGATTGTTGATCTGGGCTCTGACCCCGACAGAGTCCCTGACATGTACACGTAGATTATCGAGCTGTCCGCTCACTGGCCATAGACCCTACGTCTGTACACAGATAATCATGTACGCCGTAACTTTACATTGTATATAGTGCGCCCTCTATTGACCTGAGATGTAAATAATCCCGAATAAAGTACTAGAGTGTGTGTGAAGATATTTGTATCTGACTCTTTATTTGATAATGTCTCTCACCCTAGAGAGACGTTACCAGTATCAAAAGATGTTCCCTGAATTTTGCTCGCAACAAAACCGGTTCTTCCTTGCTATTTTCTAGCTAGCCAGAAAACCACTTCTTTTTAAGAAAACACAAGTCTGATAAAAACTTTAATGCATGGTGGCGGCCAAACTGCATTCCATTTAACTTAAAATGTAGTGGCGACATGTATGATTGTGCCCCTTTCTTTTTAAACACAAAGTATAGTCGGACTCCCTATTATCGCCAGCATCCCTATTATCGCGGCATGGGAAATTTCTCTTGTTACAGTGTCAAAAACTCCTTCATAAAGTGGCGATTTTTATCCAGTTCACCAGTCATCAAGGATTTTCTACCGAGTTGTATAAAAAGACGATTAAAAAATGTTGTGTCTTTCGGGACTTTTAACGATTTTAATAAATATTAACGTTTCCAAAACTTGCAAAATTTCCCTCACCGTGTCTGCTAAAAAGGTACCGTTTATATTTTAACATAAATCTTTAATTGCGCCTGTCCATGAAAGTTCCATTGTCTGGTTCCCATTCTTCAGCTGCATATGTAAAATGAGGTCGAACGACGATATTTGCAGCACCGCGAAATTGTAACAACTTTTACTGGATCAAAATTAGCACCGCGCGTAGCGACAATAAAACGGCACACCGTGTAAAGTGAGTGGCGCCCTCAATCGCCGATCAGTAGACTTGCCTCGGGGATTTGTGTTCTCTTTCGGGGGAAGGCAGAGGTCTTAAGAAATCATCCTGCAGACATTTTGTCTTTAATCAACTTGAACGTTACAGGGAAAATATCGGACTTTATTCAGGGAGTGTTGTTTTGTTGTCAAACATAAACTATGAACAAAAAGTTGGGATCATTATAAAACCACTTCCCGCATACCGCGATAATAGGGAGTCCACCTCCGTTCGCACACGCTGCGCATGTCTATTTTCACAGGCATCGTCACCGGAATAAACCTCACCACCCGTCAGATTTTTTTATATTAATTTAAAAAGGAAGAGTTATACTACTACATAAGACAGGACAATTCTGGAGGGTTAGTGGGCAATCTCTATCCCGAACGAGAAACGTGATAAGTACCGCGATAATACGGCGTTCCATCCTACATGAAGAATGAAGGCGCCACCTATTGCCAAGAAAGATACAGTCACGCAACGGACGAACGGCACGACGCAACAGGCGACGGCACGACGCGACGGGCGACGGCACGACCGACCGGCGACGGCACGACGCGACGGCGACGGCGACGGGCGACGGCGCGACGGCGACGGGCAATGTGTGCGTCGCCTCTTCAAGCAGTCTACTTAGAAGCGCCGAGGTAATAGGCGACGGCACGACGCGACGGGCGACGGCACGACGCGACGGACGACGGCACGACGCGACGCGTACGATGGCACGACGCCGACGTGTGAAGGTGCGTCGCTTCCTCATGCAGTGTACGTGCTTAGAAACGGTAATTTAAGAGGCGACGGCACGACGCGACGGGCGACGCAGCACGACGCGACGCCACGCGAGCGACGGACGACGCGACGACGCGACGGTACGACGCGACGGCACGACGTGAAAGCACGACGCGACGCAGATTTGGCGTCTATAGAACACCATAACAACGTGTTGCATCACGTCGTCCCTCGCGACTTGTATCGTGTTGCATACCATCGCACTGTGCCCTCGTCAAGGTGGTTCCCATCCAAATGAGGGCGCACACGACGGCGCCCTCTTCCATGTTGCTACTTCGCATGAAATGTCTTGAAGCAATCCAAGAAACGCATGGTGATGGGGCTCGACACTACCTGGTTAAACTTCGTCTATCCCCGTCACCAGACCCCTTACCTTTTTCCAGAGGGGAAATCATGTAACAAGTAAAAATAGGGGACAAAAAACGGAGCACTTTGTGCCAACCATTGCTTGATGCGTTTAGTGCACCTTTTAAAAAAAGTCTAAAAACTCCCAGGACTTCAATGTTAGTTTATGTGCCTACATGGCAATCACCCCCGGCCCCCTCGCCTTCCCCTTGGAGATTGATCTGTTGACACCACTTTCTCTGCAAATCCTGACTTGAAATCGCCGCCATTGGTGCGTATCACAGACGAATTACACCGAGGGTTATGCGTACACTGTGCTTTGCGCTTCAGCGAACTATACAACTGAAATACAATGAATAACTTAAGTCTAATTTATTATGCCTAATTGACCATAAAAATATTATGTTGGGCGAAAGACAAGGCAGAAAGCTAGCAATTTAATGGTTGTGCTTCGTTGTTGTATTTTTTCGGAGTTACTGAATTATAAATGAACAAAGCTCATTTTATGATTCAATTTACGAATGAAAAATTACCAGAAAGGTAATGACAACGAACCGTTCAATGATACAATAACAAATTGTTGTGATCAAGGCCCACTTTTTCGATTTTTATGTAAGATGTTTGTCTTATTTTCGAAAAGGGATGCCTTTCTAGGATCCTTCATACACCAAAAGGCATTTAGCAAATGTTTGTCTTCATATTCATTAAGAAACGATTGTCTTACCCCCTTTTCAGTACTTCACTGTCTCATGCCGATTGAATATTGTTACTTACTTCTCAAATATTACTGCTTCCTGGACTTTCGAGTCTAACTTTAATATCTGGGCACGAAAGCCTTGTCTTTACGTTCAATTAGTTAATTTTACACACAAAGTCTCAGTTACTCTCTTGTTAACCCGATTCTACCGGTCTTGAAGTTTGCATTCAGGTCACAATCATTATAAAATAATACATGATGGTGGAAAATATTGCTAAACAAAGTATTTCGAATAACCTCAGTAAAGCACTTTGGTATTTCGATAAAGAAGTCTAGTCTAGATCAAAGATCAGTCGGGATAAAATAACCCATGTGATGTTGAGGCCGGTTTAAAGCCGGTTCATACTCGTCACGAAAAGCGAACGCGATAGCGAATTTGTGACGTCAGGGCAATTTAAAAGCACATTTGAACTCCGGCTAATTCGTAGCGAATGCTTCGTGACGTCAAATTTGCATCGCATGAAGTATGAACCGGACCACGAATGCAAATGCGAAATTGGAGTCATGAAACGTTCGCGGCAAAATTCGCCGGAGTTCAAATAGGCTCACCTTTTGCGAAATCGCAGCGCGAACGTTTGCCATGACCAATTTGCGTTTGCATTCGCTTTGAGTATGAACCGGCCTGAGACAGAAGTGACGTCATGATGACGTCATAGGTATCAAATTACAAGCGAGTTTAGTTTAAATATGACAAGATTTAATAATTCATAACTCATGAACAAATGAACAATCATGTTCGTACTGTTATATTATAGACCATACCTTGATGAACATTATTTTCTGATTTTCGAAGATAAAGTTGCTTGACGGAAGGAGCGACATTTAGGGAAGGAAAGGTAACATAAGAACTGAAGCTTGTTAAAGGGTACAACATTTGCAAACATGAAATAAAACTACCAAGTTTGCGAAATACCTTAATAGGATGTTGGTAAAGAGTCTAAAGCATCCTGTAAATTATGGCACCTGATATTCTGTCATTTTCAAGAAAAGTGGTATTTTTGTATCAATTCACGCTGATCGCGATCAGCGTTGGAAACACTGGCTTTTTTCAAATATGGCCCCAATTGACCATGCACTTGTTGCAATCGATTACAAACCTATGAACGGGTACGAGCCAGCTAGAGGTTCCCTGACATTACAATTCCCCAATGTATGTAAAACGCTCTGTTTCTTCTTATTGGAGTCAGGGAACCAGACTACAGGAAAATGACGTTTTTCTTGTTTTTATAGCCTCGACCAAAACCTCCAAAAGTCAGTGTAACTATATTTGCTTTATATTTCCAACCCCCAATTCCATCCATTTCTGAAAATTACAGCAAAAGCAAATGATGTATATTCCCTTTAAGTTTGTTAATATAGTCTTGACAAAACGATTTTAAGACCCAGAAATGTTCAATCTATGATGCCTTAAACCACCCCCCCCCCATTATATTAACCTGGTGACGCCGGTGTCCCCTCCTCATCTTGACTAGAAATCGCCATTGTGGGGTGCGTTTCAGACGGGTACATCAAGGGTTACGCGTACTCTGTGCTGAAAACAGTACAGGGAGTATTAGCCGCTTTGGACTTGTGTCTGCTGGCTTCACGCATCAGTGAAACTATACAATAGTAATGATAGCAGGGAGCAGGCAGTTAATCGTTGGCCTCCTTTTGTGCATTTCCTCGGAATTGCTGCGTTATATAATGAAAGCAGCTTGCATTTACGCGACTCGCGCGAGCCTGGTGCCACCAGAGAAAATGGCTGTTGTCGGATTAGTCTATATAATAGAATACATAGAGCTATATTGAATTACTACAGTGGTATAACTCGCTGTACAAAGTGAAGCCTGCTGGGCGGATCCACGTTTGTGCACAAACAAATGGAAAACTCGAAATGTAGTACAGCTTTAGTACGGCTTGAAAAACGATCCCTTTACAACATGGCTAAATAGCGTCACTTTCGGGCCCAATTGCATCCACAATGCTCAGAATTGGAAGTCCCAAGTCCAGGCCACAGGTGCATTGCCATATCTCTTCAATTCCCCAATTCCATGGCTCTCAGATCTAGATCTAGATCTCTCTAGATCTAATATAAAATATTTTGAGGGTACAACTTTTATTCGTGAGCTCGGCGGACGGATATTTGGCCTATTTACTGGTGTGCAATCATAGGCTGTGTAGAATTACAAAGTGAAGCCTGCTGGGCAACCTCGTTTCCATGGGTACGATCTTGCTGCGCCATGTTGTTTACCATCATGCCTTGCGCGATCTTAACCACTGGAATTGTCTCATTTAAATGTGTCAAAAATTGGCACATTTAAACTAGGACTGCAGTCGATGTATCTAACGCGCGACGCCATGTTTAAAATGTTCAAAGTTGTTTTTTGAAGAATCAATCCTTTCCAACACAATTTTTTCGACGTTGCGTTATTTAGCAAGGATTTATATTAAATGCACGTACCTCTTTCGTCCCTTTACAACCGGGCGAAAAACGAGGCTACCGTAATCCATATCGTACAGGCATCGCAAGAAAAAAATGTTCGTACGCATGTTTGTACGTGACTTGACGTGCATAGCGCGCGAGCGCCCTATCCGGTTCGTTACATAGATATTCTATATCTTAGAGAGCGAAACGCTTGTTCATCTATTTTGTAGGTGTGAGATTTCATCTATGTTTTGGACCCGGGTTAATGATTGGTTTGAGAGGACTCTTAATTTAAACATACACTTAGACGATGAGGCTATACTTTTCGGCATAAGTTAAAAAAAATATCGTGGATTGCTCTCAACCTGATCCTTATTTTGTGTCGTTTTCACATTTATAAGATGAAGATGAACGATAGCAGATCATCCCTTGCACTATTGAATCTTGATTTAAAACGTTATTTTAGTTTGGAAAAGTACATCTCGATTACAAATGGATCTACTGCAAAATGTCATACAAAATGAGACTCCTTTGAAGTACTGTGTCAAAACTAACTCTGTATTCCAAATGTATTATAGGTCAAGATATTTTGCGGCATTGCTTTGGTTTCTTAAGTAGTTTCTGTGTAGCTTAGAAGTTGCTTTGAGGTTGAATAACACATTTCTTCCAGGGGAAAACAATAAATAAATTAAAAAAACGAGCGTCACATGACATTGGATTTCGCTCTGTCATGATCGTCGATGAACCAACTCCAAACAATATCCATTGTTACGGTTACCGTGGAAACTATGTGACGACAGCAAGCGATATCCCAAACATTAGGCTCATCGTGCCAGGGAGTGGTGCTCTGCCCGTTTTGATCGCAGATATCAAAGTGAAGACCTGCTGGCTGGTCATGAAAAACCCGCGTAAAATGTGGGTCTTCAGTTGGACTCTGTGGCTTTTTAGTTCCTTCTTTATTCTACCTGTGCGAGGGAACACGTGTAGTGCCATGGTCCAGGCTGCACCCGGTGATGATCTGACCGCACTTCGTAACAAGGCTTTCGCGTCTTTCAGAGCCCAGTGCCGTGGTAAACGAGGTAAGTAATTCTACTCCAAAATTAATATTTTAAAAGTGCAACTATAGCAAGATGTCTTACAGGGAAATCTCAGAAATGTGGTGGTTGTGCCAAAGTACTAACTTGAGTTTTTTTATTGCAATCATTTCATTGCAAAACCAGATTTCTAAAATGATCTGTTTGCTGACGTTTTGCGATCCGTATGCAAATTAGGAGGCCACGTAACTATAGTGTTAGTCTCTATATCAGAATTAAAGTCGAGCTTCATCTTATCAAATACACATTTAAAGGACCGTGCAATGGAGTTTTTCCCATGATTCGAACTTCTTAAAATGCAATAACTTTTGTATTCAGGCTTTTCCGCCAACTTTGCAGATTGGCTTTCCCGCCGTCAACTGAAAAGCAATTGTTTTTCTTCCAATTTTTTTTTGGTTTTTGCTTTTGTGCATAGTTGCAGAAAAGTCTTCGTCTATAATTATGCGTCAAGGAGGGCGCTGTAAGATCACCCGGCTTAACATCGTATAGGGGTGCACCCAATCTAATAAATGTCCAATAGACAACAGTGTAAATGCCCATACTTCAAAATTCTTTTAAAAATACTCAAAACTCTCACATGTTTTCACGCTGCACAGAAAAATGATGATGAACATGTCAAATTTCATTTTATTTTTAATTTTTGTTGGGTTGACCGATGACTTTTCGAGACAATCTCATCCAAAGAAGCCGACCCCTAAAATTAGTGATATTTCCCAAAGTGAAAAAGTAGCCATCTCGAAAAGGGATCCCTCCACAACATGGCTAAAAAAAGTCCGGGCCAGAGGTGTATTGCCATATCTCTTCAATCTCCCCATTCCATGGCTCTCAGAACTCTCTAATATGGACGAATTTGAGTGTATAACTTGTATTCATGAGCTCGGCGGACGGATATTTGGCCTATTTACTGGAGTGCACCCATAGGCCTACTTAAAGAAAACCGAATCCGGCATAATATCCACTAGACATTTTTCTACGCATTTTCAGCTAATGCATTGCGTAGCGACATGAACGCGGCTCTGCTTTTTCACAGTACATTGCGCCGATAACCATCTTTTCACGTTACGTTCTGTGATTTTTATCACAGTTTTTTTTTAAGCAAACATGTCATATTATTATTTTAAACGTCACTAACATTGTAATGAGTGTGGTACGGGGCCTGTAACTTCACAATTGCTAGTTTTTTAAAGCTATTTTAATATACCCACCTTTTCAGATGAGTATACAAGACCATGCTTATTAACTTCTTGATCTTCATAATATGTCTGGGTCTAGTGTGCTTTATGCACTATCATACTATGTCTGGGTCTATTGTGTACTTCGTGCAATATCTTATTCCTGGTGGCTGTGTCATCTTTTAAGGTCAATTTTATCAATTTTATCAATCGATCTTACTTTATTATAGTGTAGCAATTTTTTCATTATGTTTTGTCATTTTGGCTGGTGCATTACTTTTGCCTTTGTCTTTTTTATATAAAAAAATGCTCTTTTAAAACGTACTTCATTAGTGTGTCAAATTAGATTGTGTCAAATTAGGTTTTAAGATACAAAATCATTAATCCAGGTCACTTTTTTTTGAACTAACCCAGTATAATTCAAGTTCACACAGTTATATTTGGTCCTTCATGAAAATGCATAGACAGATACGCATCTTTCACACCTTTCAATTGTCAGACTTTTTTATTTGACAATCTCATTCCTGCAGCCGATTTCATGTCACCTTATGCGATGACAAAGAACACTCGGGCCACCATTTATAGTGTACGTTGCGCAACATTTCAGTCACGAGAATTTTAAGAAAGTTTCTCAGTGCGTAAGTCTGTGGATTGCTCAACAAATTATGGCATGACGCATTTATTTGAGGCTGCTTTTACATTGTACTTGTGACAGAATTGTAAGGTCAGGGGCGGATCCAGCGGGGGGGGGGGGGAGTTGAGGGCGCACGCCCCCTTTCCTTCAGATAAAACATTAAGATGTTCTCCCCACGTACAAACGTGGTTCAAGGTTCAAGGTTTATTTATTTCCACAGCATCAAATCTATAAATGACATAAAATAATTGCATAGCAGAAAAGAATTACAAATAATACAACACAACTGATATTTTAGAGACACTGCAGAGGGGCCCATTAAGAAGCAGAGCTTTTAAGCATGGGCCCCAGACGGGCATGCTCATTGAGCCCAAACCAAGGGAAAGGAAGTAACTTACAATAAACACTATTAAATGGTCAGTCAAACGAGGTAGGGCTCAATGAGCATGCTGTATTTAAAGTAATTACATAGAAAAGCAACATACCTAAACACAATACACATTCAGACGTAAACAACAGACAAACAAACAATACAATACAGATCATTTTAACTAGTCAGGTCAGCAATGAGCAATAAAATAATGGATATTCTACAATCTACATGTAACAACATATATCTACTAGCATGAATTAATAATAAGTTTGAATTAAGATTGATTTAAATAGGCGTTTAAAAGTGGAAAGATTGGTAGAAGCTTGAAGTTGTGTAGAGAACGAATTCCACAGCTTGGGTCCCTTGTATTTAACAGTATTTTGAGAAAGAGAGGTACGACTAAATGGAATATAAAAATTAGAAGCTTGGCGAGTCCAATGAGAATGAATTTCACTTCTGGCTAAAAATACTATTAATGGAAGATGGTAAAGTATTGCGAGAAGATTGATACATTAAAGACCCAAGCTGAACGTTATACATATCATTAAGTTTTAAAATTCTATGTTTTATAAAAAGGGGATATGTGTGTTCATAGAAGTCGGCAAAATTAATTACACGCAAGGCTCTTTTCTGTTATAGAAGTAGTCTTGTAGCAGAACTACTACCGCAAGCAAGTAAACCATAGTTAAGATGAGAGACAATTAGGGTGTTATAAAGAGATTCCAAAACATTTACAGGTAAAAGATGCTTGATTTTGTTAATACACCTACGTTTCTTGCAATGATTTTACATAAATGATCAACATGATTTTCCATGTTAGCCCTGGGTCAATAAACAAACCAAAACATTTACAACAATCAGTTTTGATAATTACAGAATCATCAATCATAATATTACAGGCTAGTTCACTGACAAAGTTACTGAACAACATGAAGCTAGTTTTGGAAATATTAAGGATAATTTATTAAGTCTGAACCAACTCGAAACAGATATAAGTTCGGTGTTAATTAACAGTGTCAGTGAGGTAATTGAGGTTGCCATGGGAAAAGAATAAACTAGAGTCATCAGCAAACAATATAAAAGAGAGCAAGTTAGAAGACTTTGTAAAATCATTACTATATATTATAAAAAGCAAAGGTCCTAAAATTGAGCCTTGGGGTACTCCGTGTGTAAGAAAACTAGAGTTTGAGTTTAAGCCATTTATAGACAAATATTGGGTTATGCGTGCGTATCGGCCCGATACGCTGGAATTACATATGGCACTATAATCGTAAAAAAAAAAATAGTTCATCTTGACATGCTAAATCTTGACGAAAAAGCCTAAACTATTGACGCATTTGTGATCAAAATGCACCAAAGCCATGCCACTGTTCGCGTATACGATGTTCCGTGCGGCATAGCATGGCAGTGCAGTGCAGTGCCATCGCCATTCACTGGTAGGACTGGAACCAGTGACTAGACCTACATAACGTGACAGGACGAACTTGGACCGTAGAAAATACCAAATATTTAATAAACATCGATGGAGAAAGAGAATTTATTCCAATTAATTCCCAGAACGTGATCTTTCTTTTCTGTGTATGTATTTTCCATTAAAATATATTTATAAGGAGATTGTTCCGCTCATACGTACTTGATACACCGTTAGCGTGTTTCTGAAAAAAAGTTCGGCCACAGCACGTGGGTTCGTTGCCGAGTCCGCTGCAAATACACAGTGCAGGTATGCACACTGATAGTGTGCCGTGTGCGCGAGGCGATATACGGCCACTGCTGGCTGGCGGCTGACGGTGACTAACGTTGAGCATAGTGGCGTGGAGGACTTCAGTTCCCATTATTTTTAAGAATCATCCACCTTAAATATATGTTTTTCATATTAGGTGAGGCAAGTTTTTATCACTTTTGATGGACAGTCTCGATTACTTTTGTGGCGCGAATGAACTTTATTAAGGCACAAATTATGCATGATTCCTTGGTATGCTGCATTATTTCAATCAGCACAAAATATTTTTTTGACGAAATAAAAATAAATTCCGACCTAACGACCCTAATTTTTGGAAAGTCATGTAATAGGAAGCAGAATTTTGTTTTTTTTGCTTAATTTGTTTTAATCTGAAACTTACTTTTCATCCGAACTTTTCCAGTTCAGAAAATTGTTATGTTTGTGAAATGTTTATTATATTTTTATTTAAAAAAAAATGTTATCTATCTCCTCTGAATTTTGAGGAAAAATCTACCTCAAAGATCCCAAGATTTGCTCTAAAATGTACCAAAGAGCTTCTAAAGTTCACAATTTTGGGACCATAAGTCGGCCCCGAACCCCACGCCGTGGCTTCGCACGTTGGTGTATCACGACAAAACTTCCCCTACAGGTTTAAAAAAATCACGCCCTTCCACCTTTCGGAAGATCCTGGATCCGCCCCTGAAGTTACCTCACATAGATAGTCAGCTAAAACTATTTCCAAATGGTGGGTAGAGGTGATTCATTGATTGTTTCACGAATGAACAAATCATATGCAAACATCCGTCGTATATTATGCAGATATTAGGCCTATATTCCTCCAAGATGTTTAATTTTTTTACAACGTTGCGCAGCTAGGCCAAGTAGGGCTGGAACCGTTGCCAGAACATGAGCAAGTCTTTGCAGATGACCAAATCGACTGAAAGAGAAAAAATTCTTGAAAATAAATAATCAGTGCTATGGTCGAGTCCACCCCATCCGAGTCCGAGTCCTTGGTATCCTAGTCCGAGTCTGAGTCCGAGTCCTTGTCTCCGAGTCCGAGTCCTTTTGTGAATCTCAAATACACAT